TTATCACTGGTACTTGGCAATCATTCTGTATGTCCCTGGCTAATAGACTTTCCCATTCCCAGATCAACATAGGATACAAAAATTATGACCTCGTTTTCTTCTCCTATCATGTGAAAATGTTCCAGATTGCTTGCTATGAATGGATTGATCAGGCCTGAGATTTTGCTATCATTGTTTGGGAATAATGCCCCATAAACTGAACCAAAATCAGCCGAGAAACCTGAGAATCTGTAATTTTGTGTATCTAGCCTTGTTTTGGACCTTAGGCAAATGTTTGTAACTAAGTTCTTATTTTCAGAGGGAAATTAACAGCATCCAGTTGTAACTTCATCATTAGTTTAAAGCATTCCCATGAAAATTGTTGAGAAACTGAGAATATAGTTAAACCTGGATATGTCCTATTTTACTTCCTAAGAATAAAACAGCATGTAGGTCTTCTCGTAGTTAGGTCTGACTTTAATATTTAAAGAATGGATGGAAAAGCACATCCTGGTCCCTCCTTACCCCATCCTCCCATCCCACAGAAGTAAGATTTCAACATTTGAAATACAGGCTAAGCTAAATAATAATTATACCAAAACATTTTAGTTCAAAAATAAGATTTTTTTTTCACATCTAAATTGAGTAGAAAGAAATTGGCTCAAATAACAACTTCAGTTGTATGAGACAATAGGAAACACTGTTGAAGCTTAAACAGGCATGAGCCTATCTTTACTATATATCTATCTTGATCTCTGTGGGATTCCTGTCTTTCTTTATGGGTAGTAAACTTTCCCCCCACCTTGAATGTGTTTCTCTTCCAAACTATGAAAAGAACCTGAAGCACTGAATATAAAATCAGAAATACAAAGAGCTAAAGGCTTGTAGGTTTGAGTTTCTAGCAGATACTCTTAATTATTCTCACATGTTTTCAATACTAGTTTTTTAATTATGAATTGTATTTACACTGCTCCTTTATTTTTTAGCAAGAACAATTTTAACAATAAATTAAGGATTTGGATAAACTATGGATATGAAAATAAAAATACCATTTCCTAATAAGCTTCAATGAATATTTTTATTAAACATTTATTTTTGTATACAAATTGGGCTAAAAGAAGTAGAAGATATGACTTATCCAGGTTACTTAGTTAATATTTAAACAGCTCTGTACACCTCAGGGAGATTTTATAAACCTTATCTTACTTGGTTCTCTTTCTCAGTCTTCTTATCAACCTGGTGCTCTAGCTGTGATTTTTTTTATCCCTGTTTTACAGATAGGAAAACTGAACTGTGCACATGAGCCCCAGCTAGAGCAGTAACCACTTTTTATCTGTTCTATATGTAAGGCTTACATGACAAATTTTGTTTAAACGGGAAGAGGATGACAAAAAAGGTTTGAAAACCACTCACCTACACCATACTATATATAAATACATAGCTAGATTCTCTTGAATTTTATCATTTCTATTTTTAGTAGGAAGTAATTTAAATTCATTGAAGACACAAAGTTTCTAAAATGCATTTTAGGTTCTAAAATATTCTTTAGGGCTTAACCATTTTTGAAATATTTTTCATTGCTCACATTTAAATTGTTTTGATTCAAATAAAATTTAAAATGCATTTCTCTTAGCTTTAAAACTTCTAAAGTAAATCTTTGGGACATATAAAGTTCTCCATGTGTTTAAATGGTACATAATGAATATTATATTGCAAAAAAATTATATATGTGAAATGGCAAGAGGGACTTGTTTTACAGTTTAAATTATAGGAACTAATTGCTTGAGGAAAATATAATAACATTAAGAATTGGTAATACTTTACAAATTGAAACTTACCGATTGATTGAAAACTCAAAAATGAATTCATAAATGATGTACATAATTTAGTTATATTTAGGCATACACACTTTGTATTAAATTATATGTAGTAAAACATATCATTGAACTTAGCCTGTAAAGCGATTAAATGACTGTCTTATTTTTTTAATATATTTTTAATTGGGGTATATTTTTATTAATTTATTAATTTATTAATTTATTTTTTAAGTAATCTCCACACTCAATGTGGGATTTGAACTCACAACCTCAAGATCAAGAGTTGCGTGCTGTACCAACTAAACCAGTCTGGTGCCCCAACTATGTTCCATTTTTTAATTGATGCTAGAACTTTCTGTATAAATAGCGTAGTAATAGCAGAATTTGTTGGGGGTGGGGGATTAGCTGAGAGTCTGCTAACATGGGAGAACACTAACCCACAATATAATTACTTATGTTTCTTTAGGGAAGAATAATTTGGTTTCCCTTTCTTGAATAAGATATCTTTTCTGTGAGCAATGAGATATCTAATCTTGATTACTTAATATGATTTGAGAAGTTTGTTTTAGTGTGCTATCTTGTGTTGACATTTTGAACTTCTCAAATAAGATGTGAATAAACATGGGGGAAGGGAGGGTGAAAGGTTTACAAAAACTAGTTTGTAAATGTTTATCTTCAAAGTTAAACTGATTTACATCTCAAGTACTATCTTATACTTTCTAGTAAAAATAAGCAATAAATATAGAATTGTTATTTTAAAAATTCACTAGTATTTACTTAATTTGGTGTTAATACAGCATATAAATTAATCACCTATTACTACCTCTATGTTTGCTATTTTTTAAAAAAGGGGAAGATTATAAGAACTTAAGGTGTACTTCAAATTTTTTAGTGTGGTAGTGAAATTGCCTTTCCTCCCTCTCAAAGTTTTCTAGTTTTCTAGGGTACCTGATTTTCTTCTTCATTTAGTTGCAGTAACCATATATTCCTGTGAATCAGCATCATTTCAACCAAAAAGATGCAGGAAAGAAAAGAAGTGTCCATAAAGTAATCAAGTCATAGCTTTTATCATTAGGAACATAGATTTATTTTTTAAAGTCATAGGTCGGTTGGCAAGTTCATGTAATTAGGAGATTGGAATATAATCAGGTCTGGCAGGGGAATGAAATGGAAATGCAAAAGAAAGCAATGACATGTTGTTTTTTTGTGACCCAAGATAAAAGAAATAGGTCAGGATGAAATTGGTAAAAATTAGTTGAGACAAAATCAGGGTGGCACATGAATACTTAGGATTGGGGACAAAGTGTGCAATTGAGATATGTTAACAATAACTATTTTTTCTTCAGTTTTCAAAAATTTTCCTATATTGAAATCTTAAAACTTTATCCATCCAATCTCGTATAGTGTGAGGTATTTTATTTCATTTTCATTTCTATTGTTTAAAGCAACAATTTGGTACTGAGAAAGATAGTTTATATTATTTTAAAACAGTTCCTAGAATCTGTGTGAATATACACATAGATAGGTACATATATACATACATATATACATATTAGGATGATCACAAAGTATAATTGATTGCCAAAGTTCAAATGAAAAAATAAAACCAATTATTACTTGTATACACTAAGTAAGCTTTATCTTATTATTCCTTTGGGATTGATGGATTTTATTCATTAAAAAAAGTATGGTTATTTGACAAGAATAGTATTAAAAATAAAAAACCTTCTGTATCACTGTTTACTTCCTCAGTGGACTTTGTGGGGTAGCTGTACAGGAATAAATTCCTAGGGCCCTTTATGATTTCCATGGTTTATCTTTTCCTTGGATTCTTTTTGTATACAGGTCCACTAAAATACCAATATAGAAAAAAATAAAATAAAATAAAATAAAATAAAATACCAATATAGTGTTTGGCAGGATAAGAAATATACAATAAATGACTGCTGTTATTATTTCAGACCGTATCATGCTTCCAGAAAGTGAACAAAAGAAACAACCAATGTCCCTGGAGAAAATGGAGGCTGAGATATATGTGCACAGAAACACACAAAAAAATAGATTAAAAATAGGTTAAACTTAAGAATAAGTAGCAGAAATTGAACAATCTGCTCTAAGTATGGCTATCTATATGTAGCAGGTATATATAGGTTGAGTCTGGAAAAAGAGCTTTCTCCAATTTATTTCCTCTGAGGTAGATTTTCCTGATGTTTCTGAAATGTAATCAAACTGTACTTTTAAGGCGTACAAAAGAAATGTATCAATTGGTTGTTTTCCTGGAATTCTCTTAGGGGAATGTCAGCCAGAAATGTTTGTGATTGGTTATGCTTATGTCTACAAAGCAACCATATGGGCCCATTCTGAACATAAAGGATGGACCCTAAAGGACCATACTTCCCACTGGTTAAGCACTAGACCAAGCGGTCTTCTGAAATGAGTGAGCACAGGGCCAGTGGCACTAACAAATGACTTTTGTCTGCTAGGCAGTGGCACCATGGATTGTATCGTGTTAGGCTTCATCAGCTACCTAATGCAATGTATCTCGAGAGATAAAATAGATCAAACAGATGACACCATATTAGATTTGAAAGATGAGAAGTTTTCCAAAGCAATTGCAGAGTGTATATTTCAGTGCTGTTGACTTCAGGAGGTTATTGAAGTCAAAAGTCTTTGCAACAAAACCAATCTTTCAAGAGCTGGATAGCAAGTAAGCAGTCATGCTTATTTCTTCCAAAGAAAATTACCGAGAAAAAAGTAGGATTCTTCTTTGTATATTTGTTTTACACAGCTGTAGAGCCTAATCTCATTTTTTAGTATATCACCAGCTTAGGTGTCTGCTATATATATATATATATATATATATATATATATATATATATATATAATCTCAGGTACAAATGTGTATTAAGTAGGAGAGATGGATTTTCCATCTATTGCTAAAAAATCCTAAGTGCTGGTGCTAACAGCTATTTGAAATGGATTTCTTATGTTTGTGAATCCTTATCACTAGATGATTATTTACCAATTGTCACCCAAATTTAGAAATTTAACTTTTGTTAAATAAAGTCCTATGATTGATTCCTTTCTTTTTAACATTTTGAAAACTGCATTTTCTTTGGTTATTTAATGGAATGTCATAAATTTAATTTAGGAATTGGAAAATGGAAAAAACAGCGTTGTAACTGATTGCCCTTTCTTTTACAGCCCACTGTGTGTGAGCGAGAGCTATGCGTGTTTGCTTTTCAAACCCTGGGAGTAATGAATGAAGCTGCTGATGAGATAGCAACCGGAGCTCAGGTAGGAACACATGGTGCTAATTATCCTGATTTTGATTTGAAAAATTTATTCTGATCCACTAGTTACCTTCAGTCTGTTCTTCTTTTGGACACATTTTTGATAGTTTGACAGTAAACCAAAAAGCAAGCTGGCGTTTGACTTTTTTATTTTATTTTATTTTTTTAGCTAGAAACTCAATTTTGCTATCTGTATCTAGTGAGTGTTTTGTCATTTGGCAGTTGCCAAGGGAAGAAATTAAGCCAAATTTCTTGTGTTTGAAAAATAACTGTGACTCTGTCATGGTGAAGTTAAAATATCGAAACCCTTGCACATGCATTATGTAAAATTTATTTGTAAAGTTATAGTGCCATAAAATGGAAGCCAATTTATTTTTAAAACTTGGGTGAAACAATAAAGGGCAGAATATATAAAAAAAAATCCAATTTTACAATAACAGTGTTTATGACATGGAAGAAAAATAAAAAACAAATGAAGCAGCTTGGAAGTAGAGAAGCTTTCCATGCTTCTGGAAGGAAAAAATAAATTCTAAAGATGCCAGAATTTACTTTGCAAATTCCATCAAAATTTCAATTTATTTTTAAAATTTCTTTATGGAGTCTAACTTTCTAATAAATGTATAAGAAAAAAATCAGAGAAAACAAAAAAAATGAATGTTAATTAAGGGAGGCTAGACCAAGCATATACAAAAGCATATTATGCAATCCTGGGGTGCCTGGGTGGCTCAATTGGTTAAGCATCTGCCTTCAGCTCAGGTCATGGTCTCAGGGTGCTGGGATTGAGCTCCGTGTCACACTCTCTGCTTAGCTGGGAGTCTGCTTCTCCCTTCCGTCTGCCTGCCACTCTGCCTACTTGTGCTCTCTCTCTGTGTCAAATAAAGAAATAAATTCTTAAAAAAAAACATTATGCAACCCTGTATTCTTTTTTTAAATGCAGCAGTGGCGAGGAATAGAAAGAGATCTAGTTATAAATGTATTTAATATACTTTAAAGGCGGTATCACGTCAAGTTGTAAAATGAAAATGATTTAGTATGTGAGGCAGGAACAAATGACCTCCAACATGGGGGCGGGAGTCAATTTAGCCCTGTACACTGTGTGTAAAAACAAATTCCCAAAAAGACTTAAAGAAGAGTTTCATTTAAAAATACTGTATACAAACTAGGGGAGAGTAAAACCAAGCATGCACAATGCAGATAGTGTATCAGGTTTGTGCATTTATGCAGTTTCAAGAAATGGTGAAGGAAAATACCAACAGATTTGAGTCCTCACATACTTTCCATTTTTTACTGGAAAGAATAGTGAACATTAACCATGAGAAAATTTGTTTTGCCTCAAACATAGTTCTATAAAAGCACATAAAAATTGAAAAGAAAGACATGAAGACCATTAACAGATTAATTGTGGAAATGAACACACGATTTACAAATATGGACCTATAGTTCATAGAGAAACATAAGAAAATTTTCAGCTTTACTGAAAACAACGGGAAGCTAAATGTGAAAAGAATTACCGATCTGTCACTGATAAAATTTACAAAGATGGTTAGGAAAAATGAACATATAACAGACATTTGTTCAACAAGTATCAAACACCTACCTTGTAACAGGCATTACACCAGATGGAACTACAACAATTAATATAGAATGACACAGGCCTCATGGATTTACATACATCCTCTTAACGTAATCATTTCACTGATTAACTAAACTGAGATATGTCCACTTGAAGAAATATTAAGGAAAACAGTTGTAATATAATGAGTTCTCAATGACCAATAATACAAACAGTATAGAATTGATCAGATGTAAAGTGGAAAAAAAGATCAAATGATTAAATTTCAAAAATATGGCTTGATACTGCTCCTATACCCAACATGCACATATTTGCATATTAAAGGCTCTCAGAATCCCTGAAACTAAGAAAATGAGTAGCCAGTATTTAGAAGATTTCTCAAGTGTGTGTCTGACCATGGTAGGTCTTTTCTTTTCTTTTCTTTTCTTTTCTTTTCTTTTCTTTTCTTTTCTTTTCTTTATTTCATTTCTTTTCTTTTCTTTTCTTTCTTTTCTTTCTTTTCTTTCTTTTCTTTTCTTTTTTCTTTCTTTTTTCCTTTCCTTTCCTTTCCTTTCCTTTCCTTTCCTTTCCTTTCTTTTGGTGAAAGTTTTTCTCATCAATTGGAACTAATATTGCTCAAAAAAAAGATACTTTAATATATGCTGTTTATAGTTATGTAAGTGCTTGCTTGGGCAACACATATATTAAAATATAGCTATGTAAAAATGATTAAACTTCACAGGTGTGTGTATGTTTGTGAATATACATATATGTATACATTCATAGATAGGTATGTGAGTATATATGTATAAAATATATAAATTTAATATAAATGAATTATAAACAATATATATAAATAAAAATTATTCAAGTGGTAAAGTTAACATTTGTGCATTTGAGTGGATGTAAATTGGCCTTAGACGATGTGAAAAGGGAAGGTATCAGAGCCTGGAAATAAGAAATAATTAATTAGAAGGAAAATTCTTTTTTTGAAGATTTTATTTATTTATTCATGAGAGACACACACACAGAGAGAGAGAGGCAGAGACACAGGCAGAGGGAGAAGCAGGCTCCATGGAGGGAACCTGAAGTGGGACTTGATCCCGGGTCCTCAGGATCACACCCTGGGCTGCAGGCGGCGCTAAACCACTGAGCCACCGGGGCTGCCCCTAGAAGGAAAATTAACATCATGCTAGCAGTAGGGTAGGTTGATAGATTATTAGGTGCTTTTTGCCCCCTCTTATTATAGATCCTCAAAAAATAATGGTTGTTAAAGAGAAGTTAAATTTGAATTTTATAATGATCATTACAAAACACATCAATCATATCAGTTTAGTGACTCAATTCTAAAGATCAGTATCCAAAAATAAGAGCATTTAGTGATTCTACTCTGAAGTGGAAAATTCCGTTCACTACTTTAAAGCAAGTACCCAATATTTTGGTTGTAATTCTAAAGATTACATGGAAACTGATTCTCTTTCTAGACAGAAAGAAACTCTATGTCAGTAGTCCTAGTGTGTCAGTTGACTCCTGCATTTTAAGTGGTTCTCTGAGGTTGCAAGAATGTTCCTTAGAGGGATGCTGTAGGAGGTTGGAGTGGGACAAGAGTGTCTCAGCAGCAAGGAGTCCAAGCCCCTATATACTGTTTCAACCAAAAAAGTTCCGTTTTATTTCTTTTGTGTTGAGCTCTCATATTTTTTAAAAAAGAATCAATATTGAAATGTTTGAAAGCCATTGATCTTCAGTTTTAAAGTCCTCTGTTTTCCAGAATACATTATATATCTGTAGGCCATTCCTGTATGTGCCTTGCTTATTACTCTCCTGGACTTGAATTTTCACATTTGCAAGTGCTCCAAGGTCTTCCTTACCTGCAGAGGAGGGTGGAGAGAGTCTTGCTCTACCAGTTGGGTTGTATATAATAATGACCTTTGGAAGCTTGTGATTCTGTAAACCCACAGACTTTTTCTCCCTCATCAAATGGCCCAGTTCCCTTGCTTGAATTCTGTATTTCCCTATCCTAATATCTTAGCCTACAGATTGCCTCTTCAATTAGAGTATTCAATCTAGGAACAAAGATGTCTTGCTGGCTGTAGCACTAGCTATTATGTGCTAAGATCCCACTAAGAATCTTTCATTTCAGGGCATCGGTGTGACTCAAGTCAGTTAAGCATCCAACTCTTGTTCTTAATTTAGGTCTTGATCTCAGGGTCATGAGTTCAAGCCCCATGTTGGCTCCACTCTAGGCATGGAGCCTACTTAAAAAAAAAAAAAGGATCTTTCATTTTTAATGCTGGGAGTGGGGAAATACATATTTTGGGGTAAAAGAAATCATAGTCGTTGTTACCTTTTATTTTTTAAAGTAGACCTTTTACTCTATGGAAAAATTAACATGTGCAAATGAATACAAATCCAGACAGTGTTATACAGACTTTTGTTCAAAAATTCTAACTGCTAACTTCTGTAACAGATAAATCATAAAATTACAGGGGCTTAAGATGATAGACTTTTTCATTTCTTGCTCACATTACTGTCCAGTTAGAATGTTTGTTGGGCAGCTTCCTGTGTGATGATTGAGTGAACTGGACCCTTTCCGTTGTGTGGCTGTGCTGTCCTTAGTACATGGCATAAGTAGAGGCAAAGATAAAAGTGGAGAAGGTGCACCTGTCTTTCTCCAACAGCGTACCCCTTTCCACTGCTGATCTATTGGTTAAAACTAGCCACCTAGTTTTAGCCTTACCCGGACAAAAGGGGTGGAAATATACACAGAGCAGCTGCCTCCAGTCAAGAGCTCTATACAGGGGAAAACAAGAAGTAGGAAGCTTGGGTGGACAGCTTGTCATTTTGCTGTGGTAATTATGTTACTTCTCTGAAGTTGGCTTAGAACATTATTAGCAGAAATATTCTAATTAAATTCTCTACCCCTATGTCTATTATTTCACTATAGTTTACTTGACTCCACTGGTGAAATTATTGGCAAAAGAATGCATATAATTTTTGGTAGTTTTGACTGTTTTGATGCTTCTGGCACAAGGTATTTAATAAATATTTGATTGAAAGGGACACACTGTTTAGGTTATATTACTGTATATATTTGTATCTTTATTCTTGTGGAAGAAAACACAATGCAAAATTTACTATCTTAACCGTTTTCTAAGTATACAGTTCAGTAGTGCCATTTGACTTGTCGTGAAATAGATTTCCATAACTTTTTCATCTTGCAGAACTGAAGCTCTATGTCCATTAAACAATTCCCCTTATGTAATCATCATTCTACTTTGTGTTTCTATGAATTTGACTACTTTAAATACCTTATAAGTGGAATCTTACAGTATTTGTCTTTTGGTGGTTTATTTTATACTGGTTTATTTTATACTGGTTTATTTCACTTAGCATAATGTTCAACAATGTTGTAGCATATGACAGAATTTTCCATTTGTAGGCTGAATAATATTTCCTGCATGTATATACCACATATTGTTTATCCATTCAACTGTCAATGGACATTTTGGTTGCTTCCATCTTTTGGCTATTGCAAATAATGCTGCTGTGAATATGGGTGTGCAAATAATATATTTAAGATCGTCTTTGAATTATTTTGGATATATATCCAGAAGTGGGGTTGTCCCTTCTTGTCAAGATTATATGGAAGTTCTATTATTAACTTCTTGAGGGCTTCCATAGTGTTTTCTGTAATGGCTGCACCATTTTATAATCCCATCAACAGTGTACAAAGACTCCAATTTCCTCATGTGCTCAACACTTGTTATTTTCTGAGTTTTTGTCTTTGTTTTTTGATAGACACCATTCTGCTGGTTGTGAGGTGATACCTCATTATGGTTTTCATTTGCATTTCTCTGATGATTAGTGATGTGGATCATCTTTTTGTTGGCCAGCTGTATGTCTTCTTTAATGAATTGTCTATCTGGGATTTTTGCCCATTTTTAAATCAAATTATTTAATTTCTTCTTGTTAGTTGTAAGAACTCTTTATATATTCTGGATATTAACCTTGTTTCAAATATCTGATTTGCAAATATTTTCTCCCATCCCATGCCTTTTCACTCTATTGATTGTGTCCTCTGATGCACCAGATTTTTTAAGTTTGATATAGTCCCATTTGTCTATTTTTGTTTTATTGTTTGTGCTGTGGTCTCAATCCAAGAAATCATTGCCAGGTCCAGTGTCATGTTTTTCCCACACTGTAAGAATTTTATAGCTTAAGGTCTTATGTTTAGATCTTTATGCCATTTTGAATTAATTTTTGTGTGTGGTATAAGATAGGCATTCAACTTCATTTCTTTTTGCATATGGATATCCAGTTTTTCCACCATCATTTATAGAAAAAGCCATTCTTTTTCCATTGAGTGGTTTTAGTACTCTTGTAGAAGACCATTTGACCCTATACATAAAGGGCATATACCTTTTTAAAGCTTCAATTTCATACTGTGACATGTGAATTTTTAAATTAAATTTTTTATAAGATAGCACCAATTCCCTCCCCACCACCAGAGTTTCAGAAAAAGCTATTTTATTTTACTGATTATTCTTTTTCAGGAGTTTTTATTTGGATTTTTCTTTTATTGGGAGACCAGATAATGCCCAAAACAATTTGTATCTAGGTTAAAGCGCATCTCTCTGGGTGGAAGGAATGTGAGTGTGGGTACAGAAGACAAAAAAGGATTTTATTATATCTTTATTCTATCTATTGCTTTGAAATCATACACACACACACACACACACACACACACAAGTGAAATAGTGTGTTGGAAACGTATAAGCTGTTTCAGTTCTACTGTTTCCTGAGTGAGTCTTATGGGGTGTATATCTATGTACTTTGGGAAGTGTTATTTATAGATCACATATCCAATGGCTTGAGTGTTGCTGATTATTTTAGGTCACTGGAAATTCTGGATGCTGTGATTGGGGTGGATGTGTTTTATGAGTATATATACAACATAGTGAGCCCTACTGTCATTAGGTCACTGTGCCCCTCTCATTAACCACAGAATCAAAAATTGTTTTGCTCTTACTGTACATTTTATAAATGCCTGTCTAAAAACCTCCTAGAAATATTTTTCTCTGTAAAGATTAAGTCCACTGCTTTCCTTATGATGTCCCTTATCTTCACACTATAGGGATGTCTGTTCTGGTGCCTTCTTTCCATTTAGACAGTGTCGGTTTTCTTGATTCATTTGCCAGAAGCATATTGTTTTGGGAATTGGAGAGAGGGGCTTTGCTCTAACCATTAAATAACACTGCTTCTTAATTGTAGTAAGAGGTCCCAGAAGGACATAGGAATAAAACCATCATATTTAGCATATCCAAGTTCATTTATTAATGGCCATACGCAGAGAGTAAGAAGTAAGATGATGTCAGGAGCTTTACTGTTCTTGGAGCACATCAGACTCACTTCCTGAATTTGCAGTTTCCATCACCTGGAATGGTTTCTCCCAGAGCTGTATCTCCCTCTCTTATCTTCACTCTGGTCTCTGTTTAAGTATTACGACCTTCCTAGCCATTTTGAAGTCTCTAACACCTGCTTAATATTTACTACAGCATTCAACACAACCAGAAATATATTTGAGCATATAGTGAACTGATTATTTTGTTGTGCATCTTCTCCATTAGAATGTAAATTCTGTGAGAGAGGAGCTGTCTCTCTTGTGCATGGCTGCCATAGAGCCTAGAGCAATGTTGGAGCATAATACGAGTTCATAACAAAGACATACCAGGACATAATTGGAAGCAACACATGTCAGCTATTTCAAGCTAATGGTCAAGTTTGGCCAAATGTGCTCTGAAGCCATAAATTACAGATTTGAGAAGTTGATAGCAATTCTGAGGCTTTCCTACTTAACTTCCATGACCACGAGAGGGAGGAGTAATGAATGACAAAGTGTGTGCTAAGACACCAGGGATGCTAACTGTTTTATGTATGTGTTTCAAGGTGGTAGATCTACTAGTCTCCATGTGTAGGTCTGCATTGGAATCTCCTAGAAAAGTTGTCATTTTCGAGCCATATCCTTCTGTGGTGGATCCTAATGATCCTCAGATGCTGGCCTTCAACCCCAGGGTGAGTACTTGTCCTTGCATGCCCCAACCATCCCCTGTAGCAGCAGTTGTGATTTTAGTCCTCCTTGCTTTCTTCCTCCTGTCCTACTCATTCATCAGGCCCATCCCTGACCTGTTGTGGACCACATATCCATCTAATAGATACGGTTCTTTCCCCAAAACTCAGTTTACAGCCTCCTTTGATCTTTCCCATATCCTCTCACTTCCCCATCCTTTCATCTATTAAAATCACTTTCAGAACTTCGTCTTTATGAAACTAGACCCACTTCATCCTCTCAAATTGCGATCTTTATACATCCTGTCTGCCTGAAGGGCAGGTGCATAGCAGTAATAAATTGCGTGGTGATGGTTGATATGATGAATTTAATTTCACTATTTTTTGAGATTCTGGCTTTAGTATCACCTCATTGTCATTTTAAGTGTTGTGGATAAAAGAACCGATTTTCGCTTTTCTTTTGTATTTTTACCTAATCGTTCCTCGCCTTCTTCCTTCCTCCTCCCCAGTTATCTGAAGGTCAGTGAAAGTAATAATAATAATAAGTAATGCCATATTGTTGACCAACTGGCATTTCTTGAGAAAACAATTTTATAGATATTTGTGGAGATGAGGCAGGATCCTTCTGAGAGAGCAAAATTTTCAAAATTTGTGCCAAAATTGCCTTAGTTTCTAATACTATCCATTTTGAAATCATTTTGTAGAAACAATGGCTATATAAAATGCCCTTGAAAAAGCTTCCTTCCTTCATAAGTGGCAACAGTACACATAGCTACAGTATCCCTAAAGATGAATTATAAGTTAAGTGTGTGGTGTCATTTATACACTAACTAGTCAACTAGTCTACTCTTTTGGTAACAGTCTTTCAATCAAAAGAAAATAGAAGCAAAATGATATTGCAAGATTTAAAGTGGATTTTTGTATTTTAGAAAAATTCTATTATTTTATTCATCACTTAGTTTTTTTTTTTTTTTTTTTAGTGAAATTAAGAATCAGGAGCCCAATATCTTTTTTTTTTTTGTATTTATACTTCTCCCCCTGTAAGCTAACCATGATTTTATGTACTTATATTAGGATTGGTATTGCTTTCTTTTTTCTTCCCTCTCAGTTATACATCGTACATCCTAGAGTCATCTTATTTTAAAGCCTTCCATTTTATGTACACAACACAGTCAGTGCTCTCAAATCAAGTCTGATGGAAAATCCATGTACAGAAATATGTTCCTCTAGTAATATGTAGGCCTGCAAAGGCTTATAGTGAATACTGTTTTTCTTTCCATTCAAACAGAAGAAGAACTATGATCGAGTAATGAAAGCGCTGGATAGCATAACTTCTATTAGAGAAATGACACAAGTAAGTATATCATCTTGTGGTCTTGTATGGTTCAGTTTTGCTTGAGTAAAATCGTATTTTAAGAATGTCTGAGAGTATTGGCTGATATGAAATGTAGATTTTTCTGTTAGATGGGAGTATAATTAAAGTACTTTAAAAATTAAGATTGTGGCGTACTAGGACGTTTTAATTAAATTACATCAGTGTACTGGTGGGCTACCACTGGGACTTTTGGAAGGTAATTGCATAATTGTGATCCTAATGTTCTCTGCAACAATTGGAGTATGTGGAGATATGTCGAATACCTTAAAGCAAGGGTTAAATTTGGTACCATCTTCCTAGACTGTCCGTTTTAACTAACAGTAGTGATTTTTAGCACATTATTTTAATGTTAAAATAAAAACAAATATTCTATCATGTAAATTGAATGTAAATATTTTAGAACATAGAATCTCAAAACAACTTTGGAGGACACAAGACTCCTCGAGAGTATTGAGTTTATTATATTTGTAGACATTACGGAGGCTTGGTGATGTTTGATGAGCAAGAATTGAGGTTTATTATGAAAGTCTTAACATACCACTGGGCTATCGTCTAGCTCTTTGGAAAGCACATGCTACTGAATTATTGAGGCCTATCCATTGCCAAAGATTTGGAGAAAGGCTTAAAACTCATCGTGATAAGTAGAAATTAATAATCTGTAATTGACAACAATACACACTATGGGTTTGGTTTGCATATGGTGGTTTCAAGGCTTGCACTGCCTTATAGACCCTGGGGGCTTGTAAGTGTTACCCTACATCATTTCTGTCTTTTGGAAAAAGTATTGGATTCCTTGAGGCCTGCAAAGCTTCTGTGCCACTCCTCCCTTCTTCCCTATCACCTCCACTGTACTTGAAAATGTGCTCCCAAGTACATTTTTGCATTCCCAGATTTGAGTTTTGAGTCTTTGGATAGTTATTTATTCATGTAATCAAATATTCATCCATTTGTTCAACAAATAGTGTGTGTCAGACAATGGTAAACAAAGAGATCTTTAATTCACAAGTTATATTATTTGCTTAAAAACCATCATCTAGTTGTTTTTCTGTGCCATACTTTTCTGTATCACCTGAATTCCTTTTCTGTATCACCTGAATTCCTTTTCAAACAAATATTTATTATTTGTATAAGGAAAGGAAAACAGTGAAGCATTTCCGCTTGGGGGAAAACATGAACCTACTCCAGTGGCTTATACAAAGTTAAGTAAACGTTTTTTAGTCACCAAAGGCTTTGGTGGCAATAGGATATTTATTATACTATACCCCAGACCCAGATCATTCTTGGATGAAAATAGCTACAAAATGTTGACTCTGGGATCAGCTCTCTGCCAAAATTTGCTCCCTTTATTCTGGGTCATGTGTAAGCTATTTTAATAGAAGGCAGTGGAGATGATTGGGTGTCAGCCTAGTAAGTCAGAGGCCTGTGTTGTATAATTTGCTCATCAATGATGCGGCCTGTGACCTTGGGCAAGTTGCTTAATTGCTTGATGCTTAGCTTCTTCACTGTCAAGATGGTAAATAGTAATGCTGCACCCCCTTCCAGTGTGCATTCCTTAGGGGTGCTGTCAGATTTTATTGCGTCAAAACCTTTACTCCTCTCCCAAGTAAATTTAACATTATATTGTCCTATTTTCTAGAAGGTACTTACTGCTCTCTAGATAGACCTAAATTGTCACAAATGGATTGCCTTTTGTTCTGTGAAAAGGTTAATTGTCTGGGTAAATTCCATTAAATACTTTGAAAAGAAGGGTTCTTCTTATGTAAATATTGTCCAGTTGTCTCTTGTAAAGCTCTGCACCTAAGTCAGTACCTTCAGATATGAGTGTGAGGGGTAACTATTATAAGTTTTGCTTTTAATGTTAGTTAAAAGGTAAAAACAGTCATGCTCAAAGAGAAACAGCGCCTGACACTTGTTAAAGGGATAAATTTAACTTGAGGGCTATGGTGGGGGAGAGTGACTTGCAGTGTGAGGGAGGTCACCTCCAAGTAAGACAAAAGTGACTGGGTTTTTTTAAGTGAGAGCAGAGAGAGAAGAGAGGGAGCCATGGAGAAGTAGGGGTCTGTAGGGAACAGGAAATAACAGGAGAGATGAGTAGAAAATTACTAGAAGGCTAGCAGTGTGGATGGGTACAAGGTAGGTACCTTGTGTATTTGGGCAGCATTGAGTTTTTCTCCATCAGAGACTCAGCAGGGGGCCTAGGTTCACCTTTAGACATGGCCTAGTGCATGGGAGCCAGGCTAAGCTTGAGGAAGCCTCTGGAGCAAAATGTTGGGGCAAGTCCATTGTGCCCCATGAAGTTGAAAGTTCACATCGCTTGATGGTGTAGGGGGACAGGTAGGGTAATTGTTGCTGTTACCTTGTCACAGCCACAAACTTCCGGGTTTAACTAGATTAGACATACCTGTTCAACCTCATTTTCCTTTTGCATAAAGGAAAAAATTAAAAGGAAAAAAAAGGAATGTTTACAAGAAGTATAATGACTTTTTTTCCAGGCACCATATCTGGAAATCAAGAAGCAGATGGATAAACAAGACCCCCTTGCTCATCCCCTACTGCAATGGTATAAAATTTTAGTTTTCCTCTTAATGAAAACAGCATCATTTTCTACTGCCTGCTTTAAGGGGAAAAAAAAAAAGGCCTATTTTACAAGACCTGCAATGCTACAGTTCTACAAGCCTCTGAGGCCTGGTGATTTTACAATCAGAGTCCTTAATGACTCTCACTTTAATTAAAACTTGTATATCACAAGGGGAAGAAAATGCTGTCCTATGCACTACACAGATATACAATGTATTTGACAGCAATTTGTCTATAGTTTTAAAAAATGTGATTAGCTGGATTATATGGTGAAGCTGTTTTGGTTCATTTAATTTTCTAGTTAACTGGGGACTAAGTGACAAAACTCACTGTTTCAAACACTTATTGAAAATCTTTCTAAAATGTCTGTCTTGTATGACTCACTCCCTTAACAAGAACAGTATAAATTTGATGAACTCTGTTTGATGGCTGCAGATGATGCTCTGTTCAGAGTGAGCCTGGTGAGGGGTATAACCTGCATGGAAACTAGGAGGGCTCACCTGATAATAGGAGAGCCAGTTGAGAACACTCTTCCTACCATACCTGCTTCAGAGCCTTTGCCCTCTGGTTTCTTATTTGCAAAATGAAGACAATGGTATCTACTCCCCATATCTATAAGGGTTTTATGTACAAATTTCTTTGAAATTACTGAAAACTTAAGGACAGTGGAATTCACCATGATTATAAATGCAGTAATACAAATGTAAAGATTACAAGAGATTGATCTGAATAAGACCTATTTTATGCTGCAACCAGGAAGTTTTTAAAAATCATGGAAAGATAGGCAAAGGAGAAGGAATGATTCTGGTTACTTTCATTTAGAATTTTACAATAATCATTTAGTGTAATAAAACTTTAAAAATTAGATTTGGAGGTCTTCCTTCTTTGTATCTGTTATGACCTATTATTGAAATTTTGATTGAGTAGAATAACATATTTTTTACTGTAATTTTCTACATTCTCACATTGTCATAATCAAAATGAAGGTAAAAATCTCAAATATCTAATCCCCCCTCCACCCTGTAGTCAGCCTGATTATTAACTTTTAATTATTTGTGATCATTTTCTTCAGCTTGTTTGTCACTCTTCTTTCAAGGAGAAAAAAAATCCACCAAAATATTTTTTTAGAGTTTTCCCTAGTTATTAATTTCTGTACTGAAAAACACAAAATTCTTTCAGATACCTAATGTAATATTTTTCAACCTCAGCGTCTAAATATGGTGAATAAGCTTTTGTGTACAAACCACTGTATATATCATCACAATGATCCTCAAATATTTAAAGAAAGAAAAAGGTCTTCGCCAAAACTGATTATTAATTAGACAATGTAAAGAAGAGCCAAGGAAGCAGATATGTGAATCAGCTTTGCATCTAGATGATCATCCTTTGAAAGTATGTTTAGAAATGTTCATTTTGCTGATATCTGAGGTTGTAATAATTAAAAACCATTATCTCTTAGGCTCTAAGGAACTACTTCTCGGATTAAAACGTTCTTTTTTGTTACATAAGCTCTTTAAATTGTTTCAGGAAGCAAAGAAAAGTGATGTAATAAGTAAAATGATTACTTAATTTAGTTAATGTCACAGTAAACATAAGTTTCAATCACTTGCCAACTAAGGAAAAAAATCATTAAATATATTTGGCATATATTTGTGACTGATGGATTATTTTAATTAATTTCAGGGTTATTTCAAGTAATAGGTCACATATTGTGAAACTGCCAGTTAACAGGGTAAGTTGGTTTTTCACTTATATATACAGAAAGGAAAGAGTCCTAGTTGGGAGAAGTGATTCTTGTAATTTTTAGGCAGCTTCTTCAGAAAATTGAAGTAATCTCAGGTTGGCCCTAATTCCTCAGTTTGAAATTACCATATGTACACCAGCTCCAGGTTTTCCCAAGAAATCAAATTCAAATTCAGGCTGCTGCCCTGAACTTTTCAGCAAGTAAAAGGGTCAGTATGAAATCATTTAGTTATTCCACAAGTGATAGGAAGAATCGAGATTGACCAGAAACAGGTAATGTGCTTTTTATCATTGTCAGTTTCTTGTTGGCACAGCTCCACTTTTCCACAGCAGAGAAGATATTGCCTTATCGGCTTAATACACTTACAAAATAAAGGAAAAGCTAATGGACTCTGATTTCAGTTCTGATCAAAAACCTAAAAAGAACAGTATCCAGAATCTTAGCTTTCCTGTCTATGAAACTCTAAACTGTGAGATTTCCTTTATATTGTCGTCCTATGTAAATATATTCCTAAGTGAAAGGGCAGCAATTAAAAAATTTTGTCAAGTGACTAATTCAAAAGATTCTGTTTTAATTTCTTTTCATGAACAAAAGGGAAACTATATTTGAATGTAGGCAATTTACAATTTTATAAATGTATGCAAATAAAGCATGATGATAATTTTTGCAATTTTAAAATCTTGAACTAACTTTTCTTTTCTGCTTAGCAAACTCAGATATTTCCCCAGTTGAATAGCTACTGTATACTTAGGGAATTTAATAATAAAAGTCTTAAAAAGAAACATAATTTAGGAAGGCAGATCTGCTCGGACATGATTACGGAGTGTATTCCAAAGCTAAATATAAATGACTTTGAATTGTCTGTCTCCTCTTACTTTTCCATTAGCCTAAAGAATTACCCTTCATATCAGCAACTCCATATGATTTATCATTTATGCGGGTCTTTCTTTTTAATGAATGGTCTTGTTAATGTAAGTTAGTGTGGCTTGAATCTAGATAATTCTTAAACCGGTAAAATTTGAAATTGTCATCAGTCTGATACGTGTTAGTTTTGACGTATTTTCATTTGTCATTATTTTAAATGGCAGCAACTGAAGTTTATGCATACTCCACATCAGTTCCTTCTTCTCAGCAGTCCACCAGCCAAAGAATCTAATTTTAGAGCTGCTAAAAAACTCTTTGGAAGCACCTTTGCATTTCAGTGAGTATGGCTTGGTCTCCCAGAAACCTGTGGGGAGGAAAACATTCTTTTAGTAGTTGGCTATTAACCCTTATTGGTCCCCTGCCTGAGACTTGTCTTGGATATTCAAGACTTTCAGATGGTACATGACTTATTGTATTGTGGCCACTTTAGAAGATTATTAATGTATGGTTTTACTTTGTCCTTCCCCTCCTCTGTGCTTTAGTGGCTCACACATTGAAAACTGGCACTCTATCCTGAGGAATGGTCTGGTTGTTGCTTCTAATACTAGACTGCAGGTAAATGTTCTGAATGCTTTCACAAGACCATATATGCTTTAGTGTAAGAGTTCAATAAGCAATCCTGGTGCTTTTTTATTATGAAAAAGGGGAAGCAAGTGGGCTTCAAAAATTATATAGAATTTCTAACAGGTATAAGTAATATTCATAAAATAACTGAAGCAGAATGGACCTATTACCCCATATAGGGATGAAAAGAAAAATACATTGAATTCCCTATGAGAAAACTGTAAAATCACTTTGAATTTAAGTAGAAAAAAAGTTATCATGCAGAAAGAAAACCACACAAGCATTCTGTCTGCTAATTCAACACAGATTTCTTGAGCACTGCCTCAGTGTAAATACTTTATAAGAAGAAAAGGTAGCGCTAAGAATCAGCAAGAGAGGGATTGAACACCAAAGAACCATCTGCTGCCTGATTCATGGTCTCTGGGGCAGCACTGGGAGTTATTGTGGCTATAGTGTTTCTCTTTATTTCTGCCTTTCACCTCCAACACCCCCACTTCACTCTCATTCAGCTGATTTTTATCTGACTATGGAAAGAGGTCAGAAAATGACATGCTCAATCCCGTCAGCTCTGCTGGATCTCACGCTCCAATGACAGTTAAGATGATACAGTTAAATGCAAATGTCCATAAACACACACTTACTGAATTAGTATTTAGTTAGTAATGACTAGGGTACAGGGGCCCTAAAATGTAGAAATCATGAGAGAGAATTTTTATTGTCCTGAGTAGTTTCTTAGACCAGTCAAAAAGTTTCAGTTAATGAAACTTGTAACCTACAAGTTTAGAGGAGATAAGAATGGGTTGACAGCATTGCATAATGAAAGCCTGAGTAGGCTACTTTGTTGATATACTACCATGTGAGTCCTAATCACAACTCTGTCGTGTATAATTCAGACTGTTTTGTTTTCAGTATTTTGGAGTCATTAACATAAAAACCTATTATAGTACTTTATAAGTGAATGTCTTTGTCACAGGTCGAGTGGAAAACCTTTATCAAGGATTTTTTTCTTTGGCTATGTCTTTTCATATATCAACTCACTGAATTTTGAAGACAAGGGTATCAGTAGTATTATTTTCACGTTAGACCTTAGGAAAGCGCTTTATCGTTTTCTAAGAGTTAATCCTCCCAACATAAGACTGATTCCTTTATTTTGTAAAATATTGACCTTTGAAACCATTGACTGTCCACTTTCTCTCCACCTCTTCCCCTTTTAGCTCCATGGTGCAATGTATGGAAGTGGAATCTATCTTAGTCCAATGTCAAGCATATCTTTTGGTTACTCAGGTAAGCTTGTGTTTCATTTCTAACCTCAAGTTTGTGAGGTTTTTGTTATATCAAGTGACTGAAACTTACTTGATATATTTGCATTTAATTCATTTGGTATATGTCAGAAGCGAAAACAAAGCTCACATGTTAGTATGAATTTAAAATATCCTAGTATATAAAGTAGAATATGTGGTTTTTCAAGTTCAAAATTAATTTCAGTCTTGTTGAGTAGTTTCTACATTTATTCCATCCACAAGGAAATATTGAGAATGCAGTATGTGTAAAACATTTTGTAGAGCACTGAAAAGTATTTGTATATAGTAGTTCACGGCCATGGATTGTAGCTCTGTATCATGCCAACATCTTATCTTTAAATTATTATATATCATATAAAGAAATTTTGAACAGTATGGAAAACTTAAGATTAGAAAAACACCCCCACAATCACCCTACTTATTGACATCTTGTTTGGTGAAACTTACGAAAAAATTATTTTGGAAAAAATTGAAAGCATGTGCTAGAGAGGAGCCTGGCAAATTCAAAATATGAAAAGAATGATCATAACATTGTTAGCATTCCTTATCCTCAGGTGGTGGAATTTGGGGTGATTTCTTTGCACTTTTAAATTTGGGGGAATACTTTGCGATGATTGGTATGATTTTTTTTTGAGGGGGGCAACAGCTTACTAACTTACTGTGTTTACAAGTAAAGTAATTGTGCTCACTATAAAGAAATTGAAAAAAAAGAGATTAGAATTACGTAGAACTGTATAAAATAACAAGTGAATTTTTTTTCTCCTCCCCAACCTCAGTGTTCTCCGTATTCCCCTTCAGACTTTCAAATGTTTTTATATTCATATACCTGCATGTATAGTTGGTTTTGCTTGTGTACTCCTGCATATGTACAATTATGTGATTATATTGCACAACTTCAGGAGATGTCATTTATGTGGTACCTGGTTAGTAAGTCTTAAGATGCTTTATTATAGAAAATGATATCCTGAGAGGTCTCATAACCAGGTAAATGTTAACCATCTAATTCCTTTGCCTAAGTTCATGCTCTTTCAACCACAGCAAGTTGTTTCTCAGGGTTCCACCCCAACCTTTTCCAGAACACATGTCCTGAGAGCACCAGGTGGACTTTGTAGGCCTTTTTTGACTCAGCCTCACAAGTCACATGGTGACACTTCCCACATATGCTATAGGTCAAAACAGTTACAAGCCCCTCCATCTTTGAGGGTTGGGGTATTAGACTCCATCCCTGAATGAAAGAGTGGCCAAGTCACATTGTAGAAAAGCCCATGGCTTGAGAAATATTGTTGCAACAACCTTTGAAGATACAGTATGTCAAAATAACACTAAAAAAATAAATACCAGGAAGAATAAGGTAATAGAAAAAACAGAATAATATAATTAAAAGGACAAAACAAATTAAAATCAGCATAAATCAGATGATAAATCTCATTAAAACATAACACAATGAAAAACTAAAATGAAACCAGTTTAATAAAAGACATCCTCAGCATTGGTAAGACTTCAAGTACTGTGAAGTAACTGTAGTTGGCTTTCAGGCTGTGAGTTTCAGGAGTAGAGAACAGGACATTCCCTCTGAGGGATTTTTCTCACAGAAGTGCATGTCTGAAACCCTACGCCTTGTTCCTCAGCTTGGCCTTCTCCACCTCTGCACCTTTAGGGGTATATCTAACTTGGAAAGAGTTATATTTACACCAGTGGCAACTTACTCATTCTCATCAAGACTTTACTAAAATAGCAACAACAACAACAACAAAAAACACAACATACTTCTCAATTTTGGACAGTTTTCCAAATAAAATATAGAAAAATATCTATCTATTCTAAAACATATGAATTTTAATTCTATCTAAAAGCTTTCACAAAGTAAAAAGTCCTGGCATTAACAGAGTAAGCTAAAACTTGTGAGTATTATAGACAAAAGAACTTGCATAATTTTCCTTTATTAGAAAATACAGTAAATTCCACACCTAATTAAATATAGATCAACAATCTCTGTTTTCAGTACAAAGAAAACCAAACTGAATCATCTAATTTCTAAACACTATCAGAACTTCCACCCCAGGTCACACAGCAGCTTCTCCTAGCGCCCATCATGGTCCTCTATGACCAGGTGCCACAAAGTCTTTGCCTAAAGTAGAACTTTGCAGTATCACTGGATTGTATTTGAGGGATATTGCATAGCTTTGTTCCTAAATTATTATTTTGTTGGTGTTTTCAGGGATGAACAAGAAGCAGAAGGTGACAGCCAAAGATGAACCGGCGTCAAGTAGTAAAAGCAGCAGTGCATCACAGGTGTTGTAGTGACTCGAGTGGCTGCATGTGATGAGTGAGCTCTAGCTTCATTAGCCAGCAGGATTTCCATAAGCACGCAGGCTTTATAAGTCTGCAGAGTTATTTCAAATGGCCATTACTCAAAAGACATAAAATCTACCCTAAAATGTGATAATCAAAATGCCTTTTTTGAAAAATACTCAGCAAGTATTTATTAAGCTCCTACTATAATGTTAGAGGTTCCTAGGCATTGAGCTATCGTGACAGTCAAAAATAGAACAAAAAAGCATTAGAGTATTCCTCTGGGACCCTACATTCTGTTGAGTGGCTATTAATAAATTAAATATATGTTTAGATAGAAAGAATGCCAGATGGTAGAGAAAAATGGAGAAAAATCAGGGCAAATACCATGGAGTGGAAGGGGGAAACAAGAATGAGTATTGCTTGGGGTAGTCAGAAATGGATGTTCCATCTGAGGTTACTATGTGGAGACTCGAGGCAGTGGGTGCATGAGCCGTATAGGAGAAAGAGAATTCAAGGCAGAGAAAAGAACAAGCATGAATCCCTTGTTGTTTCAATAGAAACAACCATTCTGGACAAATTAGAAATCCACTTAAGGAGTAATCTGATTTTAAATTGGGGAAAATAAGTATGGCTAACCTAATATCAAAAACAAGAAACTACAGATTTTCTGCATGAGATTTTCCTGAAACCTCTGCAGCTTAGTTAATGGTGTTGTTAAATAGTTAAAATAGGTTGGTTTTGGGTGAGTTAGATGATCTGGAATAACTGATCATAATGTTTGAAAAGATCATGCAATTTTTATTTTGTTGCCCTTGAAATGAGGATGCGAGGCTTCCAGTGAATATAAATTTGAGTTCTAATTCTATGATGTGAGGCTGTTAAACTTTAATTGAGCATCTTTAGTTCACTTATGTTGAGAGTGATTTAATAATGATTATGTACAGAAATTAAGTGTTATAACAAATACAGCTTGACATTAAGAAAGAATTCAAGAATATCCCTGCTAGTCTAGATAGATTTTTTTTTTAATCTGGAGCTATCTTAGTGGCTATTATTTCTTAATGATGATGAGTTCTTTTTTCACTTGAGCAACTGCCCTATTTTCACTCTGATTTTCAAATTCTTTTGGAATTCAGTCACAGAAAAAAGGACAGCAATCCCAATTTCTGCAAAGCCGTAATTTAAAATGCATAGCCTTATGTGAAGGTAGGTTGAAAGTTTTCACAGAATTAATTCTCTATGTTATCTGTATTTAAGAATTTGACTGTATTTCCAGAATGCTCATAATGGGTTAGTGAAAGCATTATTCCTTGCGACCTTCGCTAAGAGCACAGATGGAAAACAGGTACAATTGATATCTTAAAGGTGAAAAACAGAGCAGAATTGGCAAGAATTCAAACAGTGCTGTATTTTATTCTTGGCAGATATCTCAGAATAGTAATTATATTTTTCTGATCAAGTATTTGCTAATCTCTTTTGTGAATATGCCGCCTTCCTCTTTAAGTTGGTTTTGGAATCTATCATACCATGAGAAATGTGAAAGATGAACCAAGCACTAAGAACAGAACCTGATAGGTCTTTCTGTTTCTACACTGAAATCATTCTTCTATTCTGAACTTGGGGTAGACAAATTGATAGGCGATTTGCAAGATCATATACTTCTCTTTGTTCTTGCTATAAAATCTAACCTTGACTAAAAAAAGCATTTTTCTTCTTCTGCTGGGAATTTCAGTAGCCACCGTTAACTGCCTTTTAAGTTTTCAACCCTTGATAGTTATTGGAGGACACAAAGTTGCTTTCTACAACATCCCCGAGTCAGGATTATTTGCTTTTGATAATAATAAACAAAAACAAGTGACTTAAAAAAAAAACAAACAAGTGATTCCCTTCCTGTTGTTAAACTGATGGTATTTAAAACAAAATCATTACATTACATTTCATTGTTTTCACTTAGAATTTTGGCAGCTAATAAGGCTAAACATTTTTCATGTGTTTGTGCATGTGCTTTTTGCTTCTAAATTTCTAAGATGAGGGATATAGTAACTTAGAATAAAATGAGTTTTTAATTTTATCTTCCATTTACAGTGATCACCTCACCTGACCTGCACAAACATGGAGAGATATGGGTCGTCCCAAATACTGATCACGTCTGCACACGATTCTTTTTCGTGTAAGTGTAAAGGTTCAAATTTTTATGTTATTTTCTTCTCCATGAATGACATAATAGTGAGTACATTATTATTTGGTCACTTTAGCTGCCAGTATGTAGCAGAGAGGTAGTTTCTCATCTGAATGCTTCTGTTTTATTTTAATGAGCTGTAAAAAACATAGTGATATTTAAATACCATTAACTTAGAAGAACTGAAGAAAAACCCTCCATTGGTTTAATGAGCTGTAGATGTACATGTGTACACCTACATGTACATACACATGCAGATAGATACATACACATATATCTTTATTTGTTTATGGAGTTAAAAACATTATAACTGGAAATGAAAAAAAAAACAATAATGAGAATGTCCTGTCCTTATAAAAATTTGATCATCCTGGGCTCCTGGGATCGAGCCCTGCATTGGACTCCCTGCTTAGCAGGAAGTTTTCTTCTCCTTCTTCCTTTGCCCCTCTCCCGCCTCGTGTACTTGCGCGCGCTCTCTCTCTCTCTCAAATAAATAAAATTATTAAAAGAAAAAGTTGATTATCTGCTTTTCATATAACAGGCTGGCAATGCAGGGCATATTGGTGTGGTTTTTTTTTGACACAGCTATATCATAAGAGCTGCATGAAAATATAATAGCATTATTTTTCATTCCTGAATAATGAGTGCAATAGACCTGTCTGGTCTTCACCCACACTTGCTTGACCCTCAACCCTTTCCTTGCCTGTTTGTTCTTCATCCACGGTCCTATCACAGGAAGGACCTCAGGGTAGAATTGAGTATGTCTGTTTTGTACTTTCACATAGTCTAAAGAGAAGATGGAAAAATGCCCACTGGCTTGTTTTATAAGCCATGTCAAAATGACTACCTCAAGATTGCTTCAATATACATGCTGCTATCTACAGCATGCTATGCCTGCATCGACAGGCTTATTGACAGGCTGTTCACAATGACATTTTTATGAACTGTCTGGTTTTCTTTTGGATGGTATGGAAACTGTGACTTTCTTATGATACTGATTTATGTATTATGCAATTATGTATCTTCTGTATTCGATACATCTTAATACATACATTACATATTGTGAGATATATAATATCTATAGATTTCTTTCTTCATGACCAGGCAGCCTCGAGAATGGTGGGCAGAGCCTGCTTTGGTTAGACAGCCCTTTGTTCTTTCCAGGCTCACCAGTTAGGTGACATTAGCCACATCGCATGACCTCTCTGAGCTTCATCAGTGCATTCAATCAAGGATCATCGGTAGATGTTGTAGCACCATATGTCTACCTTATCAGGTAGACTCCCAACAGGAAACCTGTGGCCCATGAGAAATACAATTTCTGTCACCCACAAGCAGATTACTTTAAAAGTGTGGTTTATAGGGAACCATGGTCTAGTGTAGCAGCCTGAATCTAGTAGCACTAGAGCTGTTCTACATCCCCAGGGCCAAAAAGGACAAGGACAAGAAACAGTTCTCAGAACCTGGCAGGAGATCCCTTTCTAGTTCAGCAGCTTTGAAAGGAGCCAGAACCTTCAGCTGAGGGACTTATGTAGTGCAAGGAGCCCTTATGATCCTGGAACCAGGGGAAACCTAAACTTTGCCCTCCTGCCAGTGTCCTGCTAGGACTCCTCATTGGCCAAACCCTGCCAGAAAGTAGAGGGCAAGTGAGCATATTGACGGAATCCATACAAGTCAGCCTCCTGGGTCAGATTGCAAATTAGAGAAGGATGATGCCATGTGGGTCTGGAGGTTCCTAGGGAAGCTATCTGCATGCTATTTTAAGGTTATTATGAAAACAAACTTAGCACAGTGCAGTTCTTCATTGAAAGGCACTCATTAGGGGCACCTGAGTGGCTCAGTCAGTTGAGCATCTGCCTTTGGCTCAGGTCATGATCTCAGGCGCTAGGATGGAGCCCTGCCTCAGGCTCTTCTGCTTAGCAGGGAGTGTGCTTCTCCCTCTCCCTCTGTGCTCTTGCACTCTCACTCAAATAAATAAAAATCTTTAAAAAAAAAAAGGAAAGTCACTCTGTAAATTTTCTTCTCTCTTATTTTCTTGACCATTGTGACAATTATCCATTGTTAAAAAGACTGGCCTTCCAAAAGACACATCCAATCACAAAGTTGTTTGATTGACTTGCCTTATGATTTAGTTGGAAAGGTAAACCCAAAGTCCTTTCCTTAGCCTGATGTTAATCGTTTAATTTACTCCTTTTAGTATCTTACTAAAATTCAAATTTGTTAAGCCAAATAAACTTTAGGCAGTAGGCATTTTAGTGTTATTTCTTTGAAATTTTACATAAATTATATGTAAAATAAATCTGTAGGGGTATATATTTATGTGTCTGGAGGGGAGGATTTCTGTATTTATTAGAAGAAAAAATTGGGGAAAGACCTCTGAAGAAAAGAATAAAATTCTTCCCTTATACTTAGATACTTCCCAAATAGTGTAAAAAAAATAAGATAAAGATTTTCATTTCTTTATAAATACAGATGAGATTTCATCCTTTTTCTCTGCACCCTCAGGAGAGAAGGGACTAATTAAGAAAAATTGATAAGATTCAAACATATCAAAAGGAGAATCCATTCACTAATTAATGTACATTCTAATTACAACCATCAGCTTCTTTATAAAAGATGTAATCACAGAGTACTATGAGTATTGTGTTTCCCCAGTGAGTGGTAACATCCAGGAAAAGATAAATTGATGAGGAAGAAATGAGTTATCACAAATACACTGTTATCAGACAGAAAATCTCATTTTCTTATTCTCATTTTATCCTGATTTTTTTAATTAACATTATCTGATTCCGTATGTTAGGAGTTTGGCCTGATGACCGGGGTATAAATTAATGTGCTTTCCTTTTTTATCTATTTTGAAGTGAAACTACAAAAAAACAAAATAATTTCCATGCTAATCTGATTTCTGGAATGGAGATAATAAAACAGTTGTTTAATATCCTAATCATACTCTTTCCAACAAGTAAACAACAGCACAGAATGAGAGAAGAATTGGGGGGGAGGGATATTTTAGGAAACAGGCTACTATTATCAAGAAAAATTGGAAAGTAAAATTAAATCAATTCCTTTAAAATTTAAAGGAAGATATCACATAGAAAAAAATATGTTTGGAAAATGTTGGATAATTTCAGAATGAATAAACTTAATGAAATTTTAATGCTTCAAGCAAAATGTAATAATTCAGATGTTATGAGTAGATTCCAGCCAATTATTTCATTATTGGCCCTGAGACACATGTACAAAGGCATTAAGGCCAATGGGTAGAGATAAGGCAGCAATTTTTTAAAAGGGCTAGAAGCTGGACTTAAGCAGAAGATGCAGAAACCAAATGGACATATTGTGCTCTAATCATAGACAATAAAAATGTTTATTTCACAGCAAATGGGGGATTTTAGAGCAAGAGAGGAAGACTTACTATTGGATACATTCCATAAATAAGATTAAATAATAAAAATCAGAGAGAAGGTGGTTGCTACTTTGGCAAGGTAACAGAACAGGTGTGTGTAGTGTTATGGGCTCCCCCACACTACCTACCCCCCACCCCCGCCCGCACCATAGTGAAAACTTTTAGAGGTAAGAGTGTATGTCTTCCCCCTCAACTGTCTCAGACCAAGGAGAGGTTAAGAATTGCTAGGTTTGCATATCTTGCTTATTTGATGTTACAGTCTACCTGCTTAATGCTTTTGTGTTTCTTTGATTTAGAGCAGGCAGGCCTGCAAAATCAGTTGTTTCCATATTATGCCTATTAGATAAATTTAAGGCATACACTCCTTCATGTTTTTCAAAGCATGCCAATAAGTCCAGAAACTTAAGAACGGGATGGACCAAATCAGACAAGTCTGCAGGAGAGAGATGGTGTATGTTCAGGTTCTTGAGTTGGGCAGATCTCAGCACTAAATTAATTTCAGGAATTCTTATCCAAAGTCTGTCTTTTAAGGTCTAATTCAAATACCACCTCTTCTAGGAAGCTCCTATTCAAAATTAATCTCTCTTCCTGGTGTTCCTGCAGCTCACACTGTAGAATTTCCATTTAAAATTCAGTTTTTTCATTGTATTTGACTTTTCCAGGAGGCCATCCAGTCCTAAAGGGCAGATTCCTACTGTTGCTTTTCTTTTACTGTCCTAATACCCTGCAGCACCTCCCCTGGCACCTGATGCACAACTGTTTGTCAGTGCATTTTTAATGAATGAACAAAGCCAAAGCTAAAAAGGAAAATATTTTGGACTATGTGCGGGTTTTATTTTTGGTCAAAGTTTGGAATATATATAAAGAGGCATCTACAAGAAAAATTTGTAAAATAAGAACTGTATATTGGCCATTCAGTGAAAAGAAAGATAACTTTCATTGTGATTTTGCGGGGGGGAAAAAAAACACCTTAGCGTTTGAATGGGAACACAGTGAGGAGACAGACAAGTTATTTATAACGTTGGAAGACAAACCTTCAGTCATGGCTCAGTGAAGCTGTGTGACATAAGCTATATGACATCAAGCTGATACGATTGGGAACTTTGCTTTATCCCTAGCCTATAATAAATCCAATTTCTCTGTCTGCAACCTAGATCCCTTTCCAAGATTTAAACTGCTACATCACTCTCCTATTTAAAACTCTTTGGAGCTGCTTGTTCCTTATAAGATGAAGCCCAGTCTCCTTTGCAAAGAGAACCAACTCACCCTCCAAGCCCTTTGTTCTTCCTTCAGCATCACCTCATTGGAAGGTCAAGGGAATTTAGTCCTCAGCCTCACGGCCTCCAGTTTTTATCACCCACAATTTCTCACCTCCAGATGTTATGCTTCACGACCTAACTTGTACAGTATGGTTCCCACATTTCCTCTTTCCTTTCTCCAGTAAGCTTGGATTCGGTCTTCCTCTCTGCCTTCATGCTAATTTACCTAATTCCCACTCCTCTTTTAAATTTTAGTGTATGTCTTTCCTCCTCCTAGAAACTTCTCTTGACTCCTTTGTGCTACTTCTTTACATTACTGTGTGATG